GGAGAGGGAGGCATGGCCTCTGCAGGGCCCATGGAAGGAAATGTTCAGGATGGAGAGAGGAAGTGCCCATTCGCAGATGGGAAAGTCGAGGCCCCCCATCACTCTGCAGGGTCACAAGCCTGAGGGAGCACGGAGGGGCCTCTCTCTGTCCTGGGGGCTCTTCAGAGCTGGTCAAGAGCAGATTCTAGCACAAATGATGTTGGACTCATTTCCGACTTAAGACACCAGTGAAGGTTCCCCCAAGAAAGGGAGATGAGGGGACAGTGTGGGGCAGACAGGGTCTCCTGAGAGAGGAGCAGCCCTCCCCAGTCCCCACCCAACTGCTCCGGGCCACTGCTTAGGGAAGGCTCCATCACTCACACACAGCATTGTGGGACCTGCTCCTGCTGGGCACCTGGGGGCAGAACCCACTGTTTCCTCTAGTGGGGGTGGGGGGCAGCAGCCTCAGGGACCACCTGACAGTGGTTGTCACATTATTTTTAGGCCAATAGTCTGTTTCCAAAGAGAACATCATGGAAACATGTCAAAGAGCAAACCTGGGGCTGCTCTGCCTAAACCAGGGGCTCTGGGCGCAGCTGGAGGAGTGGCGGGCCCAGCTGCACCCTCGCCTGCCCCCGGTCACCCGACCCGCACCTCACAGGTGCAGAGCTGGGAGCAGATGAGGAAGCCGGCTGGAGCTGACCTTTCTTCCTGACCAGGCCACAGGCCACGCCACCCAACCCTTCCCCAGGTCACCCAGCCTGTGCTGGGCCTGCCCGACCCAGAAGGGAGCAGCCGAAGAGCAGAGGTGACAGTCACCACGATGGGCCGGGACGCAGCTCACGCCAACGGGACACCACACTCGTTAAGGAACGGAGCTCACAGCCCTCGTGAGGGGACCCGGAAACAGCCCAGAGCCCTGGGGGAGCACGCGACCACCCTACAGCACCCAGGACCCCCGGGCAGCGCAGCAGAAGGCAGCCCGTGTCCCCTCACAGACCTTCTGCTCTGGGGGGGCCTTGGTGGCTCCAGGGCCAGCCCAGGAGCTGACCAGCTAGGAGTCCACAGGCCTGGGCCAGGGGCAGTGTGGGCTCCCGAGGTCCCCCGAGGGGCGGGCCCGGAGCATCGGAGGCCCTCCCGGGCCGGTGGGGACATGGACAGACCCCCCAGCCCCGCGGGTGGAGGACCCGGGTGGTGCTCACGTGCCGGGTGTCCCCACCGGCCATCAGAGCCCTTGTGGTGGCAGGTGGGGTCGGGCGGGGGAGGGGGCGGGGGCGGAGGGGTCAGCTAGGGGCGGGCAGCGGCCTCCGCCCGGCGCCCCGGGAGGCGTGAGCGGGAAGAGGCACAGGGTGCGGGGCGAGGCACAGGGTGCGGGGCCGACCGGGGCGCCCAGCAGCCGCGACCCCTGCGGGCCCCACCCCACCGCCACACGGACCCCACTGGGCCCGGCGTCCACGCGGCAGAGGACCCG